AGGGAAAACCAAAACATTGAGGTCCGTGGTTCGTAAGCCGAGGAGAGGGAAGCACATTATTTAACCAAAGTGAGCGTTAATGTAGGAGTTGAATGACTTGTGTTACCTACCCCCCTCCAAAAGCACAGCCAAGTGAAGTTTTGATTTCCTCCAATCAGAAGAGTAGTGGACAACTCACAAAATGGCCTGATGTCAGATGTTTGGGATCAACTGAGAATATGTTTATTTAAAAGCAATTTTAAATATTAAAAAAGTAGAAATGAACACATACAGTACTTGAAAACTGTCACATTAAATACATGTGACATGATGAGCGTACTAATGTTTGAGCGGAACATCCAGGCGGGAATTCGGAATTTAACTCGTGGCGCTATGGGAACCCTATACAACATGTTGAAAGTTCTAGGCAATAAAAAAATAACTAGCAATTGCTGTTCAACAGTAAAATAAGACACACACACTATTTGCAGAGCGTAACTTTCCCCTCTGGGCGGGGAGAGAGAACTAATTAGCTATTCTTTCCATAGGTTCCATACGTTCAAAATACTCTATGTCATGTACAAAATTACAGACAGTGGATCACTGAGTTTAAGAACAATACCACATTCAAACTCAACCAAGGTCGCCAAAGGTACTTATACCTAGTTTTCCTATGTCCCACAGTAAGCTGGGTTAGAGAGAACTCAAATTCCTGATGGAAAACAAAAACAAAACCAGAAGAAAAAAAACAAAACCCAAAGTTTTTTTTTTTTTTTAAAAAGGCATTTGTGTAAAAGTCACTCCAAAAGGGGAAAAAAATAGACATTGACTCCATGTAATTTTAGATATCTACCTCTTGTGTTTTTTTAAAAAGCCAGTTTATTTTGAGATCAGTTGAAAATACTGTAGGCCACAAAAATGAATGGTGCTTCAATACAACTTAAGAAGTATAGATGAATGAACTGGGACACTAAGTAACTTCAGACAGTGACTTCCTGGCCTGACACCCATGTGGCTTAAACACTGTCAGCCACATACACCAGCACGTCGGCTGGCTCCCGGTGTCTTGTTCTGTGTGGGGTTCACGTGTGCCATGACGCTGAGGAAGCAATTGCTTAAAATCGCTTTCCAATAACAGCTGATACGTTGCAGGTTTGTCATGCAAGGTTTATTGATTAGGTGGCTATTCAAAGTTTTCATAGTAATCACTTAAGCAGAACTAAATTAATATTCACTGAGCACTGACTCTAGACTCTATTAAAGAAGGCTTCCCCTAAGGGTTTGGTTGGGAGCTGTGCTTCTGTGAAATGAACATTTCTTACTCATCGCCAAGATTATCTGCTTAAAAATATTAGTTTTCTGTGCTGTTGCCAACACAGCAGTTTAAGCAAACTTAACGCCAGAACGACACACGAGCCTCGGAATCAGAGAGCAGCCCCACTGACTGTGGAGTGAGATGACTGTATCCTTTCCCAAAATTCAGACTGACGTAAAAGACTGAAAAACTCACGATATTCTTAATGGTCTGATGAACACAGCTGGGATGAGAAGAAAACCGAGAGGGGCAGAGACTCCCGGCAGGAAGAGCGTGTTTCACAGTGCAATTCATAGCAGCGTTCAAAAACTTGGTTATGAATTGACTTGAAGGTAACGTGTCTGTTGAACAGAGCTGGAGATTGGAAAACTTATCTATGACTGGGGCTTAGTAAAGAAAACGGAAAAAGAGAAGGATGGTTTCAGCACCTGGATTCTGCAGGGGGGATAAATGATGTGCAGAACTGACTTTTGAACTCGTCATCTTCTTGAATAATCTTTTGAAAGTTTAAATTTATCAAGAACAAAACTCAGAAAAGACTTTAAAATGGACACATTGGGGGCGTTAGCACATTTGAAGGATGCTAATTCATAATGTGATATGTAAATGCATACTCTCGAGAAAGCCAAATGACTGACTGGAAGCAAATATTGTTGCAACCTTATAATTTCTCCTTTAATGGCAATCAAGTTTAAAAAATGTACAGTTCAACTTATCCATACTATTCCTTTATAAAAGGCAGATTTCAGGTAAGCTTCTAAATGCATGCATAATGTAGAGGCTAATATTTTCTGGCAGTCCTTGGTTCCTGAAAGTTGAACTTCATCAGATGTCTTAAACTTCTGTGAAAATAGTCATGAAGGATATGTTATTTTTGCATAATGAGGTAATATCTCAGGGGCGGGTACTCATCCTCTTAAGACAGTGCAAACCCACTTGTCTAAACTTGCATGAGGCTTTGGGCACTGCAAAATGCCACCCAAGGTTTTGGGTCAGTGAATATTTTGCTCAAGGAATAACACTTATATTTAACTGAGCACTTTTCTGTAATAAATACCAAGGTCGGTTTTTGTAGCTGTAAACTGTGTACACAGATAACTACAGGCTGGTCTGTCATGGAGCCGAAAGTTTCACCTGGAAAACAGAACCCACCTCTTTGCTAATGGTGCATTTTCAGTAACACAATGGAGAATACTGTATTGTCAGGAACAGAGAGGCAACTCTATGCCCTTCAACGGTTGCTGGAGACCACTTCTATTTGCAAGCCAGCAGTTCCTATATTCCTGTTTTTGTTTGTTGGCTTGGAAAACAGCATAGGGAGAGATGTAAGTGCTAGATGTCAAGGACGGCTTTGGCAAACCAGTAAGGCGCACCGGGTCCCAAGGCTACCCTAATACTGGCGAAGGCAGAGGCCACAGGGTATTTACAACACACGCTACGTTCCCCTCCCGCGGCGGCCCCTCCGGGAGCCTCCCGTTCAGTGACAGCAGCTATATACACGGTGAGCACAGGGCCACGCGGACGCAGCAGTCTTGCATGACAGGTGCAGACAGTCTGAAGGTTCTGCTTTTTGCTAGTCAGACAGGATGTGGACAAAGGACACCGGAAAGACCCCCTTCCTCTCGGGCTGCCCTTCGATGTGCCCGATCTGCAGGGAGAAAGGAGAGGTGTCAGGCTGGAGGTGGCCGGTGGGTCAGAGCCCCCGGAGTTGGCCCTGACCCGGGCGGGACGCAGGCCCCGGTGAGACACAACACGCAAGCACCACAGGGGGGGGGGGGGGGGACCACGTTCACGTGGATCGCTGCACCCACAGACAGCCCCGGGAGGTGCAGTCCCGTGACCCCTCACTTTATACACAAAGGGACAGCGGCCCAGAGAGGGGGCTGACCTGCCACGGTCTCGCCCAGGCTGCAGCTTCAACAATGCGCTCAACCAGGCTGTCTGGCCACCTTTCCTGCTGGGCGACCTCAGGCAAACCGTGCTAAGCCTCCTGTCTGTAAAGCGGGGCTAAAAAACCCCTATTTCTCAGCTTGTTGAGAGATTACACCAATGATTATGTACATGGAAGGGCCTCTGTGTACCAAGAACCTGCTTTCTGGCTGCTGTGCGGGGGAAGGACATTGTGACAGTTTGAGATGGACGAGGGCGAGTTTTACAACCGTTTTGTCGTCTGCTGCCTAAACCTGTAAGCCATGGTTACCTGACAGAAGTTACTAATAACTTCAGTTACACCAGCATTAACTGCATTAAAGAGAAGCCTACGAGGAGAAAGAATACGACACGCACGCTGGCTTCACACGACAGTTACGGAGAGAGATCCAGGCCCGCTCTCATTTCCCTGCATGAAGCACCTGCCACACAGAGGGTGGCCGGCGCAGGAGCTGCGCGTCAGCCCAGGGCTGCTTCCTTCGTTTACCGGGACTGCGGCCTCGGGCGGTCACCCGGGCCACTGTCCACCAGCTTCCCTTCTGGAGAGTGGAGTGAGGCCTGGCCGACCCACCTCACGGGGTCTTAACTGGTGTCGTGCACGTGAGTTCTTAGACTCATGCCCCACTTTTCAGAGGAGGAAACAGGCTTACTGAAAGGACATGCTTTATCCAGGGCCTCAGAGCGAGTCACCTTGGGCCTTTAGGGTCCATCTCCTTGTCAAGAGTCTAAGCTACCAGACTCCCACGTCACAGAGAGAGGGAGAGAGTCCAGGGTTCCTCAACCTCGGCACTCCTGACATTGGGGCCACATGGTTCTCTGGAGTGGGAGCTGTTCCAAACACTGCTGGATGCTTAGCAGAAGCCTTGGCTTCTGCCCCCCAGAAGCAGGAAGAATCCACCCTGGCCAGGTCCTGATAATCAAAATGTTTCCAGATGTTGTCACATGTGCCTGGAGGGCAAAACTACCCCTGGCTGAACCAGTGCTGCAGTCCAAGCAAAATCCCCACGGCTGTGGCCAAGAATCTGAAGTCGCTGTCTGAGCCCAAAGGAGGGGAAGCCAAAAGTACACGTGTGTGCACGCGTGCGTGTGTGTGTGTGTGTGTGTGTGGACGTGCACACGTTCCTGGGCATCAGCAGGCTCTGCTAGCTCAGCTGTGAACCACAGGTCCCTTTCTTGGCAGACAGAGCCCGGCCCCTCTGGGCAGGAGGGGCTCAGGCTGCCAAGGAAGAATTCCCACGCTGGGGTCAGGAAACGATCGACTAGGAAAGCACAGGAGGCTTCTGCCCGCTGCACCTCTGCCTGGCAGGGCCCATGGGAGGCTCCCTCTGGCCGCAACCTAGACAGCTGTGCACATGTCAGCCACCCCTGCAGCCACCGAGAACCGGGGCATCTTCCAGCGCCACGGCGGGAGGACAGGGATGCCTTTCCTTCCTGACACCTGGGCAGCAGGTTTTCACGTAAAAGGAGTTTCACATATTTTCATTCAATCTGCTAGAGTCACGTGAAGCAGGGATCATGCCCCACTTGACGGAAAGAGAACTGCAGGCGGGATGAAGGATGGAACTCGGGAAGAAGGACGCACGGTGGTGAAGGGCAGGGCCTGAGCAGAGCTTGGCTGGAAAACCAGAGAATATCTAGAGCTTACAGGTTGTGGTGGGATAAGGCTAAAGCATGTGTGAAGGTGAATTCTCCTGACCCGGTTTCAAAGCTCTGGCCGCTGGTGAAGAGGCGGGGCTGGCAGGCCCGGGGCGCCCTGGTCCTCACGACTGGTACATACCCACCACTCCTGGTCTTCCTCTCCGGTGACCACGATCACCTCGCCCTCCATGAAGGTCAGCTCGTCGTCATTGTCTGCCTGGCAGTCATAGATGGTCTTCACTCGCCTCACCTTACTTTTCCCCTTCAAAAAGAAACGGGGTTTTAGCTCACAGGACAGACCGAAGGGAAAGAGACACACTGACCTTGGGCGATTGAGTTAACCTCCCTGAGCCTCAGTTTCTCCTCGGTGAAAGGGGGGAGGCTTGTGGGCAGGCGCCCCGAGCCTTGGGTGCCCTCCAGACACGACAGCCCCTCTGCCCCGAGCAGCAGGGCAGAGCCCGGTGTGAGCGAGCAGGCAGCCCCGATGACTTCCATCGGACGGCAAACATCACGGGCAGGGACCAAAATCCAGCTTCATCCAGAACTGCAAAGCGCTCTCCCCTTCCCCAACCCACGGCAGCTTGCAGAGATGACTGCAGAGTCTAAAAATGGTTTGGGGAAACATGCTGCAAATCAGGACGTGCAGCTTCTGCACACGGAACGTGCGGCATAAACACATTTCTCAGCCCCTCGTGCAAAGCACTGAGTCAGCACACGCTGGTTAAACAGGGCAGGGCAGCCTGGGGCGGGGAGGACGCCAGGCAGTTCCCCAAAACGTTTTAGCTTTTGACCCATTTTGACTTGGGCTTTTATTTGTTGGATTTCTAGTTCTTTGCAAACAGGAAGATGGAAATAGGGAAATGACCTTCTAGAAGATGTTTCTGGTGCCCAGCTTATTAAACAATTAGGAAGAAAAAAAGCAAGCTGTGTCTCTAAAAGTTTCGGGTCAAGCGCTTTTCCTCTCTGTCTGCTGGTTTCTCCCTCGGTCAGTCACCCTGACGACCCGCTGGCTTCTGCAGCCCTCTCCCTGGGCTGTGCTGGAGCTGGTGGGGTCTGAGAAGCCGGCGGAGCTGTGGCCAGTAGAGATCTTAAGTCTTCTCGGCTCTGACTCTGTGAGCAAGCTGTGTGTGGCCACTTATGACGGGGAGGGTTACACGAGATGAACAGTAAAGCGTGCAGCAGCACAAACTGGAATTATGTTATGCGCACGTCAGGGCCATGCGTGGTGCTCAGGCGTCTCGGGAGCCTGCCCTGGAGAACAGCAAGCACCCACTGCTGAACGTGTGTATGGTCTCCCACCCAGGGGAGGACGGATTTTACTCGTCTCACTTTTCCTTTAGTACCGAAGTGACACACTTTTATCGCAACGTTGTTTTTTTATAGTAAGATGTGAGTAGAGGCTTTTAGTCCCCCACTAACTGTGCTCCTTAACCGGGGTGCTCGTGACCCTGTGAGGGTGTGGCCATGGGCAGGACAGACAGCACACGTGCATCTTCCCAGAGCTCCGTTTTTCCAAAAAAACATTTTGGGGTGGGCAGCGGTGGTGAAAAGCATGTTTACATTAAAGTAAAATGGCTATATCATAGAGTAGAAAGCATTTCAGGACAATGGTGGAATGGGAGACTTCAAACCAAATTCTGTGTTGGTGCAAGTCTTTTGGGGCTCTGCGCCCAATTCCTCCAGGAAGATGCCGTGAGAAGCAGAGAAGCGAGGTGCTCAGAACCCTGAGAGGGAGACCGCTTTCCCGTGACCTTGGGAAAGGAAAGGTCTCCTCCTCAAGGATCTGAGGCAAGAGCGACCACTTGCTGAGTGTTACTGGGCACTGCTCATCTGTCACTGCATTTCATCACCCATGAACTCAGGCACTGTCCTAGCTCTAATCATGCACATATAAGGAAACCTAGGCTCAGGGCATGTAACTAAGTGGCCAAGCCCCCGTGGTCACAGGGAACGCAGGTCCTGAGGTCTGTCTGCGGGGTCCACAGCCCGGTCCCGACCCCCAGGCTCCACGCCCCCTTGATGCCCGAGCTGGGCTGGCCGGGTGCCCACCCACCGTGTTGATCTTCCTGGGCAGCGGCACGGGCGTCTCCGGCAGGGTGGGCGTGAGGTCGTTGGAGTCCTCGGACGCCTGCTTCGGGATATTCGGGGAGAGATCGGCCGGGTGTGACTTGAGGGCGAGCTCTGGGGGCGGCTGGGCCTTGGGAGAGGCGTCTGCCGCCTGGGGTTTCGCCAGCAAGTCTCCCAGCTGCGGCTTGGGCGGCAGGTCCTTCACCTGCGGCTTGGGAGGCAAGTCTGCGAGCTGCGGCTTGGGGGGCAGGTCTCCCGGCTTAGGTGGCAAGTCTCCGATTGGGGGTTTGGGAGCCAGTTCCGTGGGCTTCGGGGGCAGGTCTCCGGGTGGCGGCTTCTGCGGTAACTCTGCTAACTGTGATGACTTTTGGAAGAGTTCGGGCGGGACGTTGGCTTTGTCGAGGGAGAGATGATGGCTGGTCTCTGTTTTCCTTAGTGCCACTGCGGGAAACAACACAGAGAGGGGGGTCACTGGACGGGGACGTGAGGGGATCAGCATTGCCTTCCTCTGTCACGGTCACAGGGAGGAGAACCAACCCTGAGGGAGTGCTCTGCATGCAGAGGCACGGATGGCCTGCTTTGAAGAAGGTGAAAGTCCGGAAGCCTGGGAGGCATCCACCTTACAATGGGTGATTTTATGCTTTAGTTTATGAACAGGACATCCAAAGTAATCCAGAATAATAATTAAAAAACCCCCACAGCTATAAACATAATAGAGATTACAAAAAACTGAGAAGTATAGAGCTAAAGGAAAAGTTTTCCATAAGCCTCCTGCCTAAATGTAGCCATTTAAAATACTTTGATGTAATTTCCTCCTGGACGTTTCTATGTATTCTTCATAGATAAAACATTTATCTGCTTTTAACTATATACTGTTTTAGCAAGAGTATTTTCTGTGTTAATAAAAATTCTTTATTAGTAGCATATACATAGCTAAAATATTTATGTATTTGGCTGCGCCGGGTCTTAGTTGCAGCATGCAGGATCTTTAGTCGTGGCATGTGGACTCTTGGTTGCGGCATGTGGGATCTAGTGCCCTGATCAGGGATGGAACCCGGGTCCCCTGCACTGGAAGTGCAGAGTCTTATCCACTGGACCACCAGGGAAGTCCAGTGAGCATTCTTAATGTTGCAGTCTATTCCGTTCTACAGCCGTATCATAATGTACAATATTATTAATTCCCCACGTTTTATATGATTCATGCACTATGTAAGAGGGAAAAGGTTCCTCCCTCACCACGCCCACGCACCCCACCCCCTGAGGTAACCTTTGTTCATTTGAGTGGTGCACACACATGGGTGTATGAATTATCTTTTAAAACCCATAAATGGCATTACAATACATACACTGTTTGCAACTTTGTTTTTTTCCCATTCAATATGTTTGGGAGAATTTCTAAGTCAGTTCCTCTTTCTTCTCTTTAATGGCTGCGCGGTACTCCATGGCTTGGAAATTCTGTCGTCTGTTGAAACCTTTGCACAGCTCTATCCAGTGGAACTTAGGACACTAAGGACACATCTTCAAATCAGGCTTCACCACTTAACTTATGAGCTGTGTGACCGTGAGCAAATTACACGACCTCTCTGTGCCTCACCTTCCTCATCATGAGTTGACATACGTACAGAATTTGCCAACAGCACCTGGGAGGTTCTAGGTATATCAGAATATCATCATCACTGCTAGACAAGGTTCCTTGAGGCCAGGATTCACTGAGCACATAGTATGTGCTCAATGAGGACACAGCTGACTAAGGCACACTGAGTCAAACTAGCCAAATTTTATTCTAGAAAAATACAAAATTCAGAAAGATATTCTCAAAATTTTATGTTTTAAAAAAGAAAGACAAACCCCAGTATTGTAAACTGTCACAAGCTGTACTGCAGCCTGCCCAGCCATGTCCCTTCCTAAGGAAATCAAATTCAAGGACACCCTGCTCCCAGGCTGGCCCAAGAGATTCAGCCGATGTGGCTCCGCTCAGAAACTGACAGCAGGCCCGTCAGATTTCTCTCTTGGAAGTCAGATACTGTGGTAAACAAAAGTCTGAGGCACTGATGGGGGAGAAGCTGGGAGATTTCCTGAGGCAGTGGGGCTGGAAAGCCTAGCTCTGAGCCACACTTCTGGGGAAACAGAAACTGTGAGTAAGTGCCGGGCCATCCGAACATGCAACTCTGATTCTACAAATCTGTCCTAAAAAGGGATCAAAGCCAGGCACTGACACGCCTGTGTTGAGCTGTTCAGCACGGCACTGTTTATGGTGAAAACACTGTGAACAGGGTGAATGTGGAATAGGACAGACTGCTTAATATGTCCTGGTATCAGACAACAGAGTACTATGCAGCCAGTAAGAGTGTAATTTATGTCATGGAAAGGGCTCTTGATTTATTATGCGACAAAAATCAGCTTACATAGCGACGTAAAAAAAAAGCATAGGAAAAAGACTGAAAGGATAGACCAGACTGTTTATCCTGGGTGGTGAGACTTCAGGTGGTTTGTATTTTCTTCTTTATGCTTATCTGTATTTTTAAAATCTTCTAGGATGAATATATATTACTTTTATAATACAAATAAATAAGAAGGAGACAGTTTCTCCTCCAGGGAAGCCTGCCCAATCTCTGGCTATTTTATTTCCAAGCTGAGTTGGGTTTTCCCCTCTCTAATTAAAAGTCCTTTCTGAACTGCATTCTTAACTCTGATGGACAGACAAGCAAATATGGTTCGTTCCTGAGAACGGACTCAAAGGACGTAACAGGAGGAGGAGAAGGAGGCGGAGGAAAGAGCCTGCACACTCCCAAGCCCACATTCCCAACAGAGGGAGTGCCGGGCAGAGGATGGCACCCACCCAGTGGAAGAGCGCAAGCCTAACGACGTTCACGAAGAGCTCACAGACACCTGAAAAAATACATACGTCGAAATGCTAAGTGGAAAAACCCAAGATGCAAAACTAGTTTCATTATGATGATAACTGTGGAAGAATGTAAGGGACCAGGTAGCTGTATCACAGTGCAGAACTATGGTGACTCTGTTCAGACCCTAAGGTTTCTATACTATTGCCTTTTTTTTTTTTTTTAATTTTATTTATTTATTTATTTTTGGCTGTGTTGGGTCTTCGTTTCTGTGCGAGGGCTTTCTCTAGTCACGGCAAGCGGGGGCCACTCTTCATCGCGGTGCGCGGGCCTCTCACTATCGCGGCCTCTCTTGTTGCGGAGCACAGGCTCCAGACCCGCAGACTCAGTAGTCATGGCTCACGGGCCTAGTTGCTCCGCGGCATGTAGGATCTTCCCAGACCAGGGCTCGAACCCGTGTCCCCTGCATTAGCAGGCGGATTCTCAACCACTGTGCCACCAGGGAAGCCCTTATACTGTTGCCTTTGAAAACTCCTTAAACAAATGGCTCTGTGCAGCAGTCTGTCCCCAGTTGAGAAGGCTTTAATTAAGCCTTTTAAAAGGTGCCCGGAGGAGTTTAAAAATGGGTGATGTTTGGGAGGGAAAAAGAGTGAGATGTGGCCAGGACGGTCCATACGGAAGTGCCAGCTGGTGGCAGGTGCTTGGGGGGAGCGGGGCAGGCAGTAGAAGGAGCTGCAGCCCCGCGCCTCTCGACGTCCCAGGCGCCCTCTGTCTCCAGCTCAGGAGGCTCAGAAACACATCCGGGGACTCTACCTTTTTTGGGGGTGAGAGAGGGAACCACTGGACGTATGGGACAGAGTGACTGATTTAACATGGATCACCCTGGCTCTTCTGTTGAGGAAAGACTGCAGGGCCAGGGCAGAGGCAGGTAGACCAGGTAGGAGGCTGCAAGAGTCCAGACAAGAGATGATGGTCCCGTGGACCACGGTGAGAGTGGGGGACATGGGAAGAAGTGCTTGGATGTTCTCCCATCGAAGGGAGAACCAACAGTACGTGTGGAAACACTGGATGTGGGGCGTGGCAGGATGGAAGGAGTTGAGCTTCCTTTTTAGGTTTTAAGGCCCAAACACCTGGACCTGGACAATATCGCCTGTAACAGATAGGGACACTGTGGGAAAAACAAGTCTAGGGGGGTGGGGTCAGAAGCGTATTCAAAATCTTAAGCTGAGCAGCCTGTTAGACATGTGATAGAGCAGAGATGTTACAGAGCCTGGTGTGTGTGAGTTTAGATTATAGAGGGATTCTTGGGCTGGGTGGATAATGTGGAGGTGCCAGGGTGGGTTCCCCAGGGAATGAGGGCATATTCACAAGAGCAGTGACCATGGCCGAGCCAACCTCTGGAGGCTGAGGACACGAGGAGGGCCCAGCACAGGAGGGGAGCAGGGACTGTCAGTGCCCTAAGAACAGGACGGTGTCCATAGGCCAAGTGCAGAGAGAGTAACCAGCTGGGCCAAAGGCTGCAGGTGGGCTGAGCTTGACCACCCGCCGACGGCCTTGTGGAGTGGTCTTAACAGAGGATACATGAATGGATCTTGGCTTTGAGTATCAGCATCTGGAACTTCGCTCAAAGAGAGACAATCAGATGGCACGCCCCTCTCAATCGAAGAACGCACCACAACCCAGGAAGGAGCTGTGCAAAGCCTGAACTTGTATCTGATCGGGTCTCTTGATCCAACTTTCAATTGCTAGGAAACAGAGGAACATGTTAAATAACCACATGGGGATGCCAGTCAGCAAAATCCAGCCTTTCTGAAGCATCATCTCATTTCGTCCTTACAAAACCTGGTGAAGCAGGTGTCCTGGCCCTACTGACAGGTGAGGAATCTGAGGCTTAGTGAAGCTTTGGAGTCCCCTGCCCAGGCCACACAGCTAGTAAGTGGCAGAGCTAGTACTGGCTCCTAGGTCTCTCTGATCATGTTTGCAAGAAAAGAAATGGCACCTGGGGATACTAATGATGTGTCTTCTGAAAAAGCATATGGTGTTTTTAAGGAAGAGTCTGGTGTCCTACTAATCTCAAAATTTGAACCTATAAATATTTTTCTTCATTAAACAAATATTAAATACACATCTACTACATACCAGCTACTGCTCTAGGCATCTGAGATAGAGCAGGAAACAAAAGAGACAGACGCCCCTGTCCCCTTGACACTCTAATTACATGCAAATATGAAAAAGATAAATCTTACCTTTCTGAGGTAGTTTAGGAAGAACTCTTGGGCCAAGGGCAGTCTTTGCAGAACCGGTGCTAATTAATAAATAAGAATCAGTTAGGATCTCAAAGTGCTATAAAATCAACAGCAATATGTATTACTCAAGGAAGTCATAGGAGTTTACAGAATTATCTAAAAAGTCTTTCATAATTTCTCTAACAAAAGATTATCGTCTACTTTCCCTAATTCAAAGTTTGCCTGGATTTCCCTGAGGATTATCTTCTTATTCCCAAGTCTGCAAAGTGGAGTCAACAGGGAAATTCATGAAACAGCTAACCTCTGAACGACAGAGCCTAATGCCTCCTTTTCTCGAAAGCTTTCCCCAGGTAACAGCGTTTATGAAAGCGCCTGGCACACTGCAGGTGGCGCCCCCAGTGCACTGCACAGAAGTAACTCAACTCATGGGACCCCAAAACGTAACTCCTGTCACCTCCGTATTCACAAGAGGAAACCGGAGCCTGTGCAGCTTCAGTGACCGGCAGAAGGTCCCGAGGCCGGTCAGTGGTGGAGCTGGATATTCAGACCCAGCTGTTTGACTCCACAGCCCTTATGTTGTCTCTCTCTGCACCAGAGCAAACAGCTTGGGTCTCAGGCCTCCAGACTTTCCCTGAGCTTTTCCTCCTTTTGGGCGACTTGTAAACGAGCAGAGGAAGAAAGCCCGGGGAAGCAGCCCCTGGCACAGAAGCCGCCCTGTGTTGTCTGACATCACGTGACTCCTCACGCCCCTGCCACCACCGAAATGCCAGCGCTGCAGGTGGCATCTCTCAGTTGGAACGCACTCTGTTCCTTTTACAAGAGGCTCTATCTATTCCCAGAGGACACCGGGAGCACTGCAGACCCAAACAGCAATAGCATCCAAGTGCCGGACTTGTATCTGCCAAGATCCCCTTTTATTACCTCGTTTATCCTTTTCTGTCCTCTGGTGGCCTAAGAACTGGCTTTCCCCCCTTCTTTCTAGCCTAACTGCATTTAAAAGGACAGGAAAAGGCAAACCAACCAAAAAGAAAACAAAAGTCTGATAAGAAAGATGAAACGCAAGCATCTTCCATCCTGGCCGACAAATCACCCTTGATCTTAACTGCTCTTTCCTCGGCTCCTTTGAAATCCTAAGATTTCTGGGTTACTGGAGGATCAGGCTGTTGAGATGAAACGACACTGGAAAGAGTAAACACGCGAGGGCTTTGCTCTGAACATTGCTGGAGTGTGTGTTTCGGCCTCAGCATCTTCGCAGGGATGCACACCTACCCATCATGGATGTAAGTTCAATGGTTTCCTGACCAGCGTACTGAGGCCAAGCCAGAGGCTCGGAAATGCCTCACATGGGAAACCTGGGGTCAACACTGCATGTGCGTGGACTCAGGCTTCTTCCTATGCTGCTGGTGGGGCCATGTGCATGTGTGTGTGTACACGTGTATATGTGTGTACACGTATATGTGTGCGTGTACATGTGGGGGGCTTGATTCCATGTAAAAAACATTTTGTGGGCACTTTCTCTGCATCAGACTCTCCTTCCTCTGGAAGGAGACCACCTGTCCTGCGGTTTAGAGCCCCCCCAGGGCAAGGTGGGGAAGGGCTGAGTGGAGTGGCAGGCACGGCGAGAGGAAGGGGAAGCTGTGGAACGTGGCGTCTGAGAACCCCCGGGGTGAGTCCAGCTCTGCATCTGCTACCACTTAAACTCCTGGGGTCCGTGTCCTCATATAATACTGAGGGCAGCAGTGACCAGGCTACCTCACAGGGTTATAAAGACTAAACGAGATAGTGGCATTAAAAGAAATGAGGACGTTTTTTAGCTTTGACAAGCTCTGGGAAGCGGCTCCTTGTGTCCCTATCTGGGTCACACTTCTTGAGAAAACCCTCTGCGCTGGGACTGGGTAGATGGTGCCCACAGAAGACCTTCCAAAGTATCTCATTTCAGTGGAGGAGGGGAGAAAGGGACACCACACCCCCCTTTTAGCCTAGCTTAAAAAAGTCTTACAGGGCTTCCCTGGTGGCACAGTGGTTGAGAGTCCACCTGCCGACGCAGGGGACACAGATTCGTGCCCCGGTCCGGGAAGATCCCATGTGCCGCGGAGCGGCTGGGCCCGTGAGCCATGGCTGCTGAGCCTGTGTGTCCGGAGCCCTGTGCTCCGCAACGGGAGAGGCCACAGTAGTGAGAGGCCCGCGTACCGCAAAAAAAAAAAAAAAAAAAAGGCTTACAGACAGGGAATTTGGAAAGAGTCATATTTTTATGTTTGAAAATCTCTAGACTATTGGATTTCCCTGAGATTCATCTTTTTATTCCCAAGTCTGTAAAATGGAGTCAAGAGAGAAGGTAACAAAACAAAATGACTAAACTAAAAAACTGAAAATAAGAACTCATTCTGGCAGACTCTGCGATCCTCGGGGAGGTGGGGTCCATTCACGCCAGGAACCTGGATGTGGAGAGCACTGCTCCCCTAAAACAAGGTCTGCAGACCCTGCCCGGCCTCGAGAACTGTCTGCCAAGGGGCTTTTGCAAACCGAGGGGAAGCACTCAGGTTCTCAGCATGATCAGTGCCAGCTGGCAGGCCACACCTTGAGCAGATGGCCCCTAAAACCCAATTCTGTAACTCTGCCCACGGCGACGGTGAGCCTGCCAAGCGAGCACGTGCGCAGATGGCTTACCTCGACTGCTGGGACAGGCCCTCGAACTTGTTAGCGGTCTTACTCGATGATGACGGACCCACATCGTTACCTAGGGGGAAGATCAAATGTGAAAAGCCACGTTTTCCAACAGGAAATGGAATGTGGGGACATAGGAATAGGCAGGCAGGCCACCCTCAGGGTCCAGAAAGGAAGTCAAAAGCCTCAAGCTAGAACAGTACACATTTCTGACATTACAACGAACCGGTTTGGGTCTTGACAATGTTTTTGTTCCTATTAAATATTTTAAAAAGATGACTGATCTGCTCCCTGGCAAGGCCTCCAAGGTCACAGGACCTGGGGGATGTCCCGTAGGTTCAGGATCTTGTCCTTAGCTTGGTGGCAGGGGAAGCAGAGTAAGGCTTCAAGTTCACCACAGATTCCCACACCAGGGGACCACCACTGGGGACCACTGGTGTGTGTGTGTGTGTGTGTGTGTGTGTGTGTGTGTACACACCATTATTCAGCAGGGTGGTGGTGACTGGCCATCTGCTGGGCAAGGCCCTCAGTCACTTATTTACCAATCATTCGTTCAAACATGAGAATGTTTATTAAGCATCTACTATGTGCAAGACATGAACATGGAGGAGGAGGCACCAAGGCAAGTTAAACCTCACCAGAGTATGTCATCCCTCCTGTGAGGGGCACAGGCACGACCGACGCTGACAGGGTTGGGTGCTGTGAAACAAGGAGAAGGAAATAGCACCTAAAGTGAACTGGTCATGGGCTTCCCTGGTGGCGCAGTGGTTAAGAAACCGCCTGCCAATCCAGGGGACACAAGTTCGAGCCCTGGTCCTGGAAGATCCCACATGCCGCGGAGCAACGAAGCCCATGTGCCACAACTACTGAGCCTGTGCTCTAGAGCCCGCGAGCCACAGCTACTGAGCCCGCACACCTAGAGCCCGTGGCTCCACAACTACGGAGCCTGCACTCTAGAGCTTGCGTGCCACAACTACTGAGCTCACGTGTCACAACTACTGAAGCCCACACGCCTAGAGCCCGTGCTCTGCAACAAGAGAAGCCACTGCAATGAGAAGCACGCACACCGCAAGGAAGCGTAGCCCCTGCTCGCTGCGGCTAGAGAAAGCCCGCGCACAGCAACAGAGACCTGACACAGCCAAAAATAAATGAATAAAGTAGATAAATTTATTTTAATAAATAAATAAAGTGAAGTGGTCAGAGGGGCAGGGAAAGTCCTCTCTGGGGGACACGGACCCTGAACAGTGAAACACCTTCAACAGGGGAGCAGCAAGACCAAATCCACGGGCTTGTCGAGGAGAGACAGAGAGACTGGCCAGAATCAAAGTGGCCTCTTCTGTGGCCCGTTCCGTGCTGGGGGGAGCCCAAGCGCCAGGCGCCCAGGAAGGACCCCAGGAGCCCACTGGGCTTGGCTATCTCTGGGGTGATGCCCCCTCTCCTCGCCTGCTCGCCCTTCCAGCGACCGCTCTGGACACTCCACGTGCTCCTGTTTCTGCAGAGCCCCCTCCCCTGCCTGGACGCCCGCAACGCCTCCCGGGTGGCGCTGACGGGCTGGCTGAAGGGGGGAGTGAAGGGGGCAGGCCGAGCAAGCACCCGGACTAACGCTCACTGTGCAGAGGCGCCCACGCTCTCCCTCGTCACAGCAGGGGGAGCTGGCCCCATCCTCATTTTAAAGATGAGGAGACAGGGTTAAGTGACCCAACGGCCACAGGTCACACGGTCGCACGATGTACCTAGTGGTCCTGTACACAGATGCACGCACTTCTCATTACCCATCGTGACGCGCCAATAGCAATATTGGTAATAGCAACTACTGTGTATTGAGCACTTACTCTGAGTGAGGTACTCTGCTAGGTACCCCCTAGTCGTTACGTCTGTGAGATATAAAATGGAAGGCACTTACATTGTGTAAAAAGAAACAAAGAAGTAAAGCAAAGGTCAAGGTCAAGCAGCTGGTAAGGGCCAGGGCTGGGACATAAAGCCAGGCAGTGCCCCTCCAGGGCCTGCGTTCAACCACCACACTCGCCCCTCCAATCCCAGTCCCACTAACCTACAGGACAGGGTGCAGCTGGCAGAGCGCTAAGGTGGGCGCTCCCGGACAGGACTTCAACTCCAGGACATACATACAAGAAGGAACAAGCTCAACTGGTGCTACCAGGGCCAAAGACTTTCAAATACAGTTTTATTTTAATAAGACACCCCTCCTAACTATCTGTATATTTCCACGAGTCTGTAACTTAACAATGAAGGACTTCTTTGGCAGCCTCTCATGACATCCTTCGAGCTGAGACTTCCTTTAAGGCAGGCATTGCTTTTCAGCACGGTATGGGAATAAGCTGTCGCATCTGCTAATTTCCGTTCCAGGTAGAAGACACCCCAAACCAGTGATTCTTCACCCTATTAGGCGCGAGATTGAATATGAGACCATAAAGGCTGTAAGAGCCCCTGGCTCTGCCTGGGGCCGCCCACTCTGTCACACAGACAAGCCGTCACGTCAGGGGCTGTGGTCCGACAGCCACAGCTCATATGTCCAGTGTCCTCACTTAACCCTCCCCTCTGGCCACGCTCCAAAGACACTGTGTGTTTTTATGCCTCTGTAAATTTGCCCCCTCTGTTCCTTCTCCCTGCAACACCTATCCCCTCCCACTTGGGGTAAATTCCTTTGTAACCTTCAAAGGGTCTCTCCAAAGTCAATTTCTGAGAGTTCTTCCCAAGCCAGACTCGGTCTCTCCACATCCCCGGTAAGCCTACAACTATTCACCACAGAGGATGATCAGGGGCAGATTTTGGAGCCAGACAAGCCTGGTTTTGAATTCCAGCTGTACCACCGACCAGTGGGTGTGAGTTCTGATGACACTGCTTTTTCTACTGAGCCTCAGTTCCCTCCTCTTCTTCTTCTTTTTTTTTTTTTGCGGTACGCAGGCCTCTCACTGTTGTGGCCTCTCCCGTTGCGGAGCACAGGCTCCGGACGCGCAGGCCCAGCGGCCATGGCTCACGGGCCCAGCCGCTCCGCGGCATGTGGGATCTTCCCGGACCGGGGCACGAACCCGTGTCCCCTACATCGGCAGGCGGACTCTCAACCACTGCGCCAACAGGGAAGCCCCCTCATCTTTAAAATAGGAATAACAGTACCTGCTTCACTAGATGGGCACGAGCATCATGAGAGAGAAACCACGGGGTGTAGTTCATGGTGCTGGACCACAGAGGGCATGACACAAACGGAGATCACTGTTCTGAGCTCTCTGATGAGATGTAACAAAAATGCAGGTGATTTATTTCCTCAACGAGCGAGCATTTCACAGACAGGGGCTCTACCTTGTCCGTCCCTGCAGCCCCACTGGAGCCCAATGTCCGCACAGAGCAGTCACTGGGCACTGCTGAATGAAGACAAGGCCCACAGAGCGGACTCCTCCACTCCCCCCTGCACAGCCTGGTTTCTTGCGCACCTGGGTGGGGAGGCAGCTGTGGTCTGGCGGACAGGAGCCCTGCTGTGCCTGGGCAGAGAAGCGTGGCTTTGAAAAAGTTCCAAAAATAGGACAGCACTAGAAGGAGGCGCACAAGCATGGAAACAGCTCAATCCTTTTTCCTCTCTCGGTGCAACCTGGGAAATGACTGGTACACACACAGCTGTGTGAGGAGAGGGCTGGAGACGGACGGTGGGCAGACAGTTTAAAAAGCTGTGGCCAAGGGCTTCCCTGGTGGCGCAGTGGTTGAGAGTCCGCCTGCCGATGCAGGGGACGTGGGTTCGTGCCCCAGTCCGGGAGGATCCCACATGCCGCGGAGCAGCTGGGCCCGTGAGCCATGGCCGCTGAGCCTGCGTGTCCAGAGCCTGTGCTCCGCAACGGGAGAGGCCACAGTGGTGAGAGGCCCGCGTACCGCAAAAAAAAAAAAAGCTGTGGCCAAGACTCCAGGTCACTTACTGTAGCTCAGAAGCTGTGGGCCAGGAGTGTGGAACGAGAGGAGGGCACTGCCCAGCAGTGCCTGGCACACAGGCTCTAGGAGTCTTCTGGAAGAGTGGGTAATTATATGAACCTCGGAGTCAGAAATAGGTTCAAATCCAGGCCTTGAAGTTATCGGACAAGTCACCTGACCTCTGTGATTCAATTTCCTCATCAGTAAACCAGGGACCATGACAGTCCCTATCTCATAGGACAGTTGTGATGGCTTAATACAGTAACGAATGAACAAGTGCACAGCAGCTGGTACATGGTGAATAATCTATATATGGTGGCAGCCATTGTTATTTCTAGAACTCCACGTAAAATGGGGTCGGAGTGGTGGGGGGAGGCGACTTGAGAATATATTGGGAAATCCAAGAAAAAGAAAGAATCAGGAAGTTTCTACCCAAAGGCTCTTTTACAAGCCAATACTACTTCTAATATGTAGGCGTGGGGGACTTGGATCAAACATTTCAAATACTGACCCATTTTACCTGGAAGTTCTGGCCTTGAAATATGAGAAGGGAATCATCTTGTGGTATAGTTTTTCGTCCATTGTCTACTCTCCATTAAAAAAAAGAGAAGCGTATAGAACTTAAGTCCCAGTGGCCAAAGATAAGGAATGCAAGTGATTCTCAGAGGTCTCTTAGCCAGGTATTGGTGGAACACGGATCAGAACTCAGGCTTCCGGAAAGTTTGCTCGGTGCACTATATGGTTTCCCAGGATGCACCCCGTAAACACTTCTCTGAATACATGACAAAGGATGGAGGTCCCAGGGAAAGCTGATCTCACGTAGTCATTACAAGAATCTCAAGTGTGAGAAAAGGCTTAATCTTATGGCCACCATGAACTAGATAACTGGCTGCATTGTTTTCTTTGCTCTCACCTCTAAGAACCTCAGTGTCAAACCCGTGGTCTATTTCCAGCTGCTGTATATGACCTTGTGTTATGCATTTTGTGACGACATAACCCTCCTGGACTTCATCTTACTTTGCTCCCTTTATTCTCCCTTTGTCCTCATTTCCTTATTAATTTAATTTGAATTGTGTTAAAATGTGTTGGTCTGTTAGAAAGCAAGTAATAAACAACTTATTTTATCTCCAAAGGTGAGGTTTAACGACATGCCACTTCAAAAATCAACAGTCCCCGCACCTAGTTGCTTCTGCCACCGGCCTAGCTGTTTTCTGATCGAAAGCCTGCCTCTGCCGTCTCCCTAGACAGATGGCCGAACCCACCACCATAGCGGGGCTGCAGTATGTGATGCCCGGGCTATCCTGGGCACCGTGGATGCTGTGGTCCTGGCAGGGAGGAAGCCCAGGGTGGCCTCCCCACACACCAGGGCTCCGTGCTGCAGAGACGAGGTGGCACAGCCAGGCAGGGGGTGCCTACCTGCCAGGCTACCTTCCCCCGTCTCCATTCACAGGCAAAGAAACAACTGCCGAGACAGGGGAACAGCCAAGGGGATCACTGAGCCGTCAGTGCAGAGCTCAGCAGAGCAAGGAGAGCGCGGGGGCCATGGGGTCTCCCAGCCACACGGGCTCCCCACTCACCAGCTGTGAGAACTTGGGCATGGAACTGAACCTTTTGTGAATCTCAGTGTCCTTAAAATCAAGCCCCTTGCATTTCCTACTCTGTGGAACTGGCCTGAAGAATTCAATGAGTGCTATTAACTAGCCCCAGTTTACAGCCAGAGAGACTGAGGTATGGAACGATTCAAAGGTAACTGCTGAAAGCCACAGGGCTACCAGGTGGTGGAGGTGGATTAGAATCCAGGCAGTAGGACACAGGTCCACACCGGAGCTCCACTGAGACAGAGACAGCTCGTGCCCTCGTAAGGAGCTCATACTGCACTGGGAAAGACAGAAAGGCAACCAGAACCACTGTGTGATAATCCCTATGCCAGAAGGAGCAGAGAGTGGGCATGGGGGTGCTGGCTGGGCCGGGGAGGGTCTCTGAAGCAGGTCCCTGGACAGTAGATCTGGAAGGATGACTAAGCATGAACACAAGTGGACAGACTGCTCGAGGCTGAGGGCACACTATGAGCAAAGGCTTGGCTCTCAGGGGAGAGGATGGAGTTGGGAGCCTACCAGCTCAACACGGCAGGCACGTCCCAGGGCAGGGGGTGGGCAGGTAAGGCCAGGGCGAGCTCAGGGCTGTGCTACTCCACCTCCGCATGCCTGCCCCCCACGCCCCAGTCCAGATCTCAGACAGCCCAAAGGCCCTCACCTCAGGGGCTGTGGGGAGACGGCAGGTTTAGGGGAGCACTGGAATGATGGGTGCCTAGAGGGAAACCGCAGGTACCATAAATGCTGCCTAGGAATCTGGTACCCCGTGTGCCTTATTAATTAAGTCTGACCCCTGCTTCGGCTTCTGGATCACAACGTCAGTGGGAGACAGGTAGGGATAAAACCCGCGGTGGTCATACAACACAAAGCATGAAGACCCGGATCTGAGCCACTTTAACCTGCCTGGTGAGAGGCTTGTTGCCGTCCCGCGTCTGCAGATGCCTTTAAGAACATCTCCCCTGTGTGCTCGCACACCGACTCAGAAAGAACGGCCCTGACGGCCACAGAATTACCACCTGGGGTTGTCTGTGACGTGTACAGTGGTCACTTCTGCGTGGAGAGATTTTGATTTTTGTCCCCTGAGGCTGGGGGTAGGTGGCAGCCAACTGCTCAGGGCCCACAGCTTCCAAAGCTTGAAGGCTCCCGCTCACCGTCCGGGGCACCAACTCACGCTCATCGAGGGGTAACCTTGTTTCTTGGTGAAAAATGCCCCTTGTCCACAACGAAACCCACCCAAAGCCAAACCAAAGCAAATGAACACCCGCTTTTTTCCTAGTCCTGCTGCTTAGTCTAAGAAAGGGATGATTCTTAAGCCGGGAAACAGAAATTTAGTAAATTTAACTGCAAACTGATGGAGTCTGTGAGGCACAATGAACTTTATGCAGAAATAAAACCCGAGTAAACAACAGGATCAAAATCTAGTGAAATTCGAAAAGGTCAGTCTATGATTTGTGGTATGAACACCTGCAGGAAACTGGTGACCTTCAGTGGAGCGTTATTTGGGGCAAATAATTCTTCCTCTTGGAAGAATCCTTTTGGAAGAATCCTGGGGACTCCTGAAGGCCCTGGGGTGGGGCCTCGGGCAGTGTCAGGGACCTGCATGGTGCTGACGTGCGCCTGGGCGCACCCTCCCCGCAGCCGGTCTCACCGGGAACAGATTTGTCAACACCCGCTGCAAATTTCCCCTCCCCGCGAAGCCTGCCGACGCAGCTGGACACCCTGCTTCAGCATTTCCACAGTATTTGGTGAAGAACGCACGGCACTCGTGTCCCTCCTGGACCACGAGCTCCTCGAGCACAAGGGTGGAGAAGCCCAAACCCCAGGCACCAGGCCAGTGGAGTGAACGGCTAAGCACAGACAGTCCACACGCACTGTGGCATCTGGGTCACATGACACACAGGCGTGGCCGTCTGCAAATGGGCAGCATGGCTTTTCCCAGAAGATCCCCAAATCCAGAACACCTATTAGGGGCTTTCTGACGAGGCCCTTAAAAGCATTCAGCTGAGCTCCCTATCAGTTACAAACAAACAAAACAGCCATGACACGATTCACTGGCAAGGGGAGGTGAGCCATGCAAACCAGCAGGGCCAGGACCCCGTGGGCGCCGGGAGACACCGGGCTCTTGAGCGAACCTGGTGGCAGGCTGGTGAGCTACAAAGGGAGATAAAGACGGAAACCGTGTTCCTTGTGGATAGAAATTTGTTATCAGCCACCAGTGTCACTGAAATGGTAAACTACTAACTGATCTGCGCAGGTCTGTTTATTCTCAATCGATTATGAGGTACCTACTGCATCCTGGGCTCGACTCTAGGCTCTGTGAACACAGAAAAGACAGACAAGGGCCCTGCTCTCACGGAGCTAGGTTCCAGAGACCGAAAAACCAAACACAAATAAAACACCTGTCAGCGGTGATCTGGGGTCCTGAGGGAAACACTGGGGGGGGGGCTCCCTCAGAGAGGATGGCCCAGGAGACAGACATGCAGGCAGAGGAGGACGGGAGGGAGCGAGGCTTTCAAGCCCATGACAGAGCTGCAGGGAGGGGGCGGCCCCAGGAAGGAAAGAGCCCGGTGGAGCCAGAGGTGAAAGCAGGCCGGCGAGGCTGAGCGGGGGACAGGAGCTGGGAGGGACCAGCCTGACCACCTGGGCCCTGGTGGGTGTCTGGTGCCCAAAAAGTGCTCAGCAGCTTATCACTAGTACACTTTTTAAGTGGTGGTGGTATTTTCCCCCATGTTTCTTTGGCCATAAGAGGCTGTGCAATCATATGTATCCAGGCCCTCACCCAGCGTGGGTGCGGTCTGGTCCATCTGCTGGGTGTGCTGAGCGCCCACTGCCCCCCGAGCCCCGTGCTCTGCCTGGCTCAGGCAGTGAGGGCCCTGACTGGAGGACAACTTACCCCAAGGAACTGCGCCTTTGTTTGGGGGCCCGTGAGGTAGTGGGCTGGGAGGGTCGGATAGGGTTCTCTTGTGTCCGGGCGGTGGGGGAGGAGGCCTCTTCTTGGACAGAGTGGAGCTGCCACTAGAGGTCTGGGTGCTTAGAGGGAGTGCTGAAGGTGGGCCAGTTGGACCTGGAAAGGAATCGAATGGTGCAGGAAGGTTAATCCCGGTCTCGCAGATGGAACAGCCTGTGTGCAGTCACTCCCATGCATCAAATGGAGTGTGACACACAGAGACCGAAGCACGAGGCTGGGGATGGCCAAGTCCATCGACCCGGTAATCCCCAAAAGAGGGCTTTTAAAAATTGCTGGTAAAAAAAATTAAAAAGGAGAGTGTGTGCTTTTAAGGAACAAAACGTCAGCCAACATGGAACACTACTGGGTTCAGATCATCCTTTGGGTACAACGGGAGAAATAAAACACACACATTTTAAACCAGTAACTCACTGGAACCACGGCAAAACCTACAGAGGAAGAAGGCACACAGCACTGCCAGCAAAGTCAATGGAGAAAGAGCAAAATACTGACTAAGGGCTTCCCTGGTGGCGCAGTGGTTGAGAGTCCGCCTGCCGATGCAGGGGACGTGGGTTCGTGCCCCGGTCCGGGAAGATCCCACATGCCGCGGAGCAGCTGGGCCCGTGAGCCGTGGCCGCTGAGCCTGTGCGTCCGGAGCCTGTGCTCCGCAACGGGAGAGGCCACAACAGTGAGAGGCCCGCGTACCGCAAAAAAAAAAAAAAACAACAAAACCGACTAAACCTCCAAAGGGCCTCACGTGGAAACATGAACACTGGATTCATAGAATAGGGTTTCTCTCTTCACTGCAATTTTTTTTTTCAGTCAGCAAACGTTGCCTGAAATTTTTTTTTAAATGACTTTTATAAATAATGAAGGTTCTAGTGGAAAGGGTTACTTGGAAAGAAGGGAAATCCAAAAACCCTTTTTTCCTCCAATTCTGAACTGTTCTAGAAATCATAAACCACCTATTATATTGGAAGCTTGAACAAGTTACATAAGCTTCACTGATTTCTATAGGTTAAAAAAAAATTTTTTTTTTAATTTTTGCCTGTGTTGGGTCTTTGTTGCTGCGCGTGGGCTTTCTCTAGTTGCAGCGAGCGGGGGCTACTCTTCGTTGCGCTGCGCGGGCTTCTCACTGCAGTGGCTTCTCTTGCTGCGGAGCACGGGCTCTAGGTGCGCGGGCTTCAGTAGCTGTGGCACGCAGGCTCAGCAGTTGTGGCGCACGGGCTTAGTTGCTCCGTGGCATGTGGGATCTTCCCGGACCAGGGCTCAAACCCGTGTCTCCTGCATTAGCAGGCAGATTTGTAACCACTGTGCCACCAGGGAAGCCCTGATTTCTAAAGGTTTTTAAAAAGATTCTACTTTCTCCAGAGGTAATGATAGGATAGCAATAATGATATTAATATCACACACACACACACACCACTACTGCAAAAGTTGACTTTTTGACCTAACGCTTTAAGAAAAAAAGGAGTTTGTTTTCAATGAGCGCTATGGGAGTAGTATATATGCTGTTAATTTTGTTTATTCTAAGAGACACTGAAGTGGCCGGTGTGTGCCGAGCACTATATGCTGGGCACTTTGACAAATCTCTCTTTATGATCATTACCAGGTTATGGTTTAACTGGACAACAGTGTCCACAAACATTAAAAGAGAAAAAAAGGAAAGAAACAAAAAAAGCTAGGAACACTGCCACACCAAATGTTTATCGCAGGATAGCAGGTACCTGGTGATCCAGAAAGGCTCCAAAAGAGCTTTTTACATTCTGCATATTAAAAGAGAAGCGTAATTACTGCTGGCCTCCTTCCTTGGGAAAACAAGCTTTGCTATTTCCCGTGATCAATTACCGCTCAGTACAAACACAGATTTAAACCCCCATTTCTCAAAGACAGTCTCGTCTTGGAAGTAAATACTGTTCATCTCAGTAAAATGGTCGTGTGCTTTAGAATTAAATGGCCCTAGCGGCAGTATTTATTCTCAGTCCTACTGGTGAGATACGTGATGGAAGCCTTACCGATATCCCCAATCAACGCCTAATTACGGCACCAGTCACTGAAGTTTCAGAAACTGTTTCATTTTTGTAACAGTAAAGGCATTGTTATTTTAGCCTTGTGTTTGTGCAGTGCTTCCTAGTTTTCAAAATGTGTTCGTACATGCTATTTGCCTTGATTTTCATAACAACCCCGTGAGGCATGTAGGTCTGGTATTACTGGCCCCATTTGGCAGCTAGGAAAGCGGGGCTGTGTGTGATTAAGGGTATGGAGCCACGAGGGGCGGAGCTGAACCCTGATGCAGGTCTCTGGAGGTGGCGAGGGCTCGCCCCGTCCTGAAAGCCAGGCCAGCATTTTCTGGGCTCGCCACACGAGGAAAATGGCAACAACAACCCTCGGTACTAGGAAGTGTAACTTTCCTCTTGGAAATAAATGGAGAATACATAATAGACAATGGTGAGATTCCCCAGCAGTTTCATCTGTATCGCCATCTAGGGACTTCCTGATGCAATGCATCTGGAAGGCCATAATCAATCCGTTTCAAATCCCGCCTGGAAACACAGATGGCCAATGGGGCTATGTCTCTGGGCAAAGCTGTCTGCGTACGTGGTTTTAGGAGTGATCAGACCAGAGTTGTCCTGTAACCACAAACCAAGCAAAATCAAGCTTCCTGAATCACCATTTAAAAAATGTAGGGGTTAGTGTTCCCTTCCTGACGTCATCACAGCCTTGTCTTACTTTCAGACATCAGCTACTACAGTCTCTAATTATCTGTCTTTGCTGACTTGTTCATTGCCTCTCTGTCCACCATGCTGCAGGTTCTACCAGGGTCAGGCTGTTCTCTGGCCTGGTGTAGAGAAAGCTGCATTTAGTAAATACAGTATCGAATTAATGGATGAATAAACTTCTACTTCTCTTGTTGTAAGGCTAGTGATCCTTAAGGAAGACAGAACGTCTCACTTAGGGTGACAGATCAGAAACCAGGGAGAGAGGGGACCTGGGGAGAGAGAGTGTGAGGTTCGAAAATAAATATTCAATACTGTAATGGACTTTCATGGCAAACAACACACAGACCCACCTATTGTTCTGTAACAGAAGCTACAGAAGGGAAGATGCCATGAAATCTTCTTGGCTGGTAGGGCATGAGTTAAAAAAGGGTGAAAAACACTATATCAGACCCCAGAAAAGCAGACAAAATTTTATAACTTTACTGTAAAGAGCTCAAAAGACTTCCAAAATAAGTAACTAGTCTTTAAGCACTAAAAAGGATGTTTCCTGCAAACTAAACCTGAGCATTGGCTTGGTCAGGAAAGAAGCAATTCTGGAGGGGTAAAGAAAGCTAAAACAAAACAAACTAAAAAATAGTAAACACAGCATCAAACAAACTCGAAAGGGGTGGAGGCAAGATTAACAGGTGGGGAGGGGACTCGGGCAGCCAGTTTTCTTCCCTCCACTCTGCCAGGGCCTGTGGGAATAAGGAGAAAACACCCTAAGCCACATTTGCCGCTAATACTGGCTATTATGTCAAACTATCCTCTAACACTTTTTCTTAAAAATACGGTCTAGACTTCCGAAGCTGCCATATATAGCTCCCAGGTTAAATTATTAGAAGGTCTTCTACAAGGAGGCAGGGTGTACCAACGCAGCTCTTACTGGGGGTTCACGTGCCTGGGGTTCTCCTGTATTTCCAGCAGCCTCTTGGTCACTCAGTTAGACGTTCTGCCAGGGCTTCAACGCTAGTGGCCCCGTGTGAGCTGTGCTGCCTCGAGCACCTCACCGTCACCGGCTCAGGGAGGTCCCTCACTGAGGCCTGCAGCTCAGACGTGTGGCCACCATGTGGCCAGAGCTCGGGAAGCCCACACGTGTCACGCCGCCGTGCATCTCAGAAGCCTCGAAGTTAATGACAGAGTTATATAGACAACTCTGGACAATACAAATGACAAACTTACCATTTTCTAATGGTTTTCACAGTACAGAACTTAAAAAGAATGGAAAGTTTCTATCATTTAAAAAGTAGATAGGGACTTCCCTGGTGGTGCAGTGGTTACGAATCCACCTGCCAATTCGGGGGACAGAGGTCCGAGCCCTGGTCCGGGAAGATTTCACATGCCGCGGAGCAACTAAGTCCATGTGCCACAACTACTGAGCTCGTGCGCCACAACTACTGAGCCTGTGCACCTAGAGCCCGTGCTCCGCAACAAGAAAAGCCACCGCAAGGAGACGCCCGTGCATCACAAATAAAAGTAGCCCCCCCCCCCGCCACAGCTAGAGAAAGCCTGCACACAGCAACGAAGACCCAACGTGGCCAAAAATAAATAAAAAAATAAATAAATTTATATATTAAAAAAATGTAGATAAAGATGCAAGAATATTTACTTAGAGAAGAACTGTGTGTAGTAGGAAGGCGCTATCATCATCTCCATGCTCAGGTGGGGAAACAGAGGCACGGTGCAGAGGAGAGGGGTGTGTGGAGAAAGCACGGTAGGCTGGCAGCAGGCCTGGCAGGATCCCAACATGGCAGTGACACTGTGACAGACGCAGCGCTGCACACAGAACATGGAGGAGCCATTCACGTGTCCTTCAGTCTCCTTCCAAGACACTGATCATTAAGAGAAAAGTGCCGAACTCAAGGGGCTCAGGGTTGGTTCTTTAACACTCATAATATTCTTTTTTCTTTTTCTTTTTAAAAGGATTTTTTTTGCTTTTTAAAATTTATTTAGGGCTTCCCTGGTGGCACAGTGGTCGAGAGTCCGCCTGCCAATGCAGGGGACACGGGTTCGTGCCCCGGTCCGGGAAAATCCCATGTGCCGCAGAGTGGCTGGGCCTGTGAGCCATGGCTGCTGAGCCTGTGCATCCAGAGCCTGTGCTCCGCAATGGGAGAGGCCGCAACAGTGAGAGGCCCGCGTACCGCAAAAAAAAAAAAAAAAAAAAAAAAAAATTATTTATTTTTGGCTGTGTTGGGTCTTCGTTGCTGCATGCAGGCTTTCCCTAGTTGCGATGAGTGGGCTTCTCATTGCGGTGGCTTCTCTTGTTGCAGAGCACAGGCTCTAGGTGCGCGGGCTTCAGTAGTTGTGGCACGTGGGCTCAGTAGTTGTGGCTCGTGGGCTCTAGAGCACAGGCTCAGT